AATTAGTTTCCCACAAACCTGTAGCACAGCATCACATGGAAACAAACACGTACCTGATCAAATCTTGTAGCAAAAAGGTTGAGAGAGGTCACTATCCCACCATTTGGGCCCAGACCGTACCTGAATACTTTTTTAGGAAAGCAGACCTCACAGCACTTCCTTTTCAAATCTGATAATAGTTAGTTATTTACAATGCAGCAAAATAAAATGTTACTGTCACTAAATGTCATAATTAAGTTTCCTAAGTGATGCAATAACATAACAAAAGAAAAAAAAAAAGACAAAGGGGATACACCAGGCCTTTCCTTGATCATCATCCAAGCATTATCATTCAGGAAAACAATAGGAGAGAAATATCAAAGCAATCTTTGTCAAATTTGGATATACTTGCTATGCTTTTATAATTTTTTTGGTAAGGTAATGTCCTGAATACACTGAAACTTGTAAGATTACGTATTTCAAAACATAATCAAGGAATTTCCAGAACAAAATAGTTTTTAAGCAAATTTAAACAGAAAGAACAGGCATGAGCTTTGTAAAGACACTCAGCTAATCAAAGATAAAGCCTAAAGACGAAGACGTAAAATGCTTTGCACGCATATGGATCTCAAAGTTCAACAAAGGAGAGTATATTTTATTAAAATACTTTATTTACTGCACCAGAACCAGCTCTAATTCACCAGCAGTCTTCCTGTGCCATTGCACGCCCTTCTCTTCATTCTATAGTGCAGAAGGGATGGACAATTTATTTTATTACACATTCAGAAGGTTCATAGATTGTAATTAAACAAAAAAAAAGGATACTGTTTCATAACTTCTTTGTACTTCACAGTGTCCCGGATATCTGGAGAGAAAAGTGTGAATAACTTAGACAGGTATTTTTAAAGTTATGTCTTTATCAACTCCCTAATAAGAAAATGCTTTTCCTTGTCCAGCACTTTTCCCTTTTCCTCAACAACAAACCCAGCACCAACACATGCATCGCACAGAGAACACACAAACACAGGGCGCCTGCTCCACGGGCGCCACTGCCGCCAAGC